ACCACAGATCTGCTTACAAAAACGACTTTTGAAGTCTGCCAACAACAGCTCAGACTAGTTTCACAAAGGGAGTAGCAATAGGTCGCAGTGTTTAAACAATAGCAGCAAATCACAGTATGTGATTGAGGCACAATCAAAAGAAACTTATGTATACATCTCAATTCTTATTTTCCCATCTTAGCTTTGATGTCCACTGAATGAAAAGGTGCTAAAGAGAGCAATGACAGTCAGCTGGTCATGTAAAATGTGGCCTGGTAGCAGAATGCAAAGGCCACCATTTTCTAGTGGCATCTTCATCATGTTTTCGCTGTTCAAGTAGTTATGAACAAAGCCACAAAAACTTAGGCCTAATTTATATTTAACCAAGCGCAACAAATTTTTCAGGATGGAAAAGAAATATGAAACAAAATGGAAATTGTCTTTCTTAAAGTTTCCTTGCTCGAGTAATAGCTATCTCCTTGGTCTAGGAAAGACAATCGTGGTAAGCTGCCTCTCAACACTGCTACTGGAGAAATTGTTAGAGGTAAAGGACGATGCCAGGTTCAACATGAAACTATGGGAGGTTGGTCCTCCTCAAGTTGAAGATTTCAAGAACATGATGGACAACGTAGTCAAGACGGACCTGCATGTATCACTGACTGGAGACGGGAATGTCTGGATCAAGCAGGTGTTGGCTCTGCGTTGCCTTCATGCGGCAGTGACTGCGATTTCTACACGAAGTTATAGTAATATGCTCGCATCTTTGGAACGCAGGGCCCCAGACTCTTGACGATGTAATAGTTTTCATCAGGCGCGGGTTGGGATTTGGTGAAGGTGAAAGGATTTTCCTTTCGTGGTATTTTGACGGGCGAACAAGGCGACGACGGGTGCATCATGGTTGCAGCATATGTTCTCGGAGGATGTTTCCTGGTTCAAACACGACCATGGTAGTGAGACTTCGTGCTGTTTACTGCAGCGACAACACGGCATTCTGTAGCATCACTCGCAGGGACAGGCACCGGACATGCGCAGACGCTCCATATTCCTCTGCCACCTTTAACAAATGACGACATGAATGAAGTGGCCCAGATATTCTTTGACAGGGTGGTGAAAAAACCAGGGGCCTCGTGTCACGCTTACAGATGAGTGGAAGAAGGTGATCTGCATTGCGGGCGGTAACCGGAGAACGCTCTCATTCCTTATCAACTCTCTGGTGACAGAGCTCCCACGGCCTATTAGTCTGCATGAACTGGACAGGGAGCTGCAGGAGGGATTGGATAAAAGGAAAGTAAGGAGCATGCTTGACAACCCTGTTTAGCAGTCAGTACTTACAGCAAAGGCAAAACGCGCTTGATACTCCAGGCCATACACTTCTCAACTAGGAGTTCCTGTGACACGAGGGGAGAAAGCGTGGGACAGTGATGACACTTGGGGTGATCTTGAAGGACAAGGCATAGTTGGTTTGATTCAAGTAGAGCGAGATCGTCCACTAAGAAAAGCACACAAGGTGTCTGGACCTGTGACCCCAAATTTGCTGCAGTTCCGTGTCAGGTTCCTGCCCCTGGTAGCTTACTGCGTGACACACTTATCTGGCAGCGAATTAAGGGATCTATGGCCGCCCTTGACTTCATCAACAAGGAGGATGCGGACGTGCTTGAATTTGCATTTATGATTCGGCTGAAAACGCTATTGAATAACGGTGAGCATACTTTCCATTTCGCATCTCATCCTTGTATTTTGCAGGTGCACCTTTCACGCTAGGTGATATCGTACCACGCCACACATGGTTGAGTGATGACCTCCATCACATGCAGCTCCAGTTGCCTTCACCACCGAGTAAGTTCGACTTGGGGTTGGCCTGTACTTGGCTTACCAACTTCGTGATCCTGCAGACAGTGTACAGTGGGACATTGTTCAACCAGAAAAAGCACCATGTTCGAAGCAAGAGTTTTTCGATCTCGTGGCTTGTCATCCAGGGTCTTTAATCTATAGACTGTCAAAGAACTCGTACACGGATACAATCATGAAGCTTGAGAGGAGGATATTCAAAAGGGATGGTGAGGTGGAGGCAAAAGTTATTTTCATGCACATGGAAAGGAAGTACAGGTGCAAGAGCACTCTCCTTGATTGGGGGCTTAGTGAGGAAAGAGGTGATTCACATTCATTGGACAGATCATGTGGCAGAGCTGCTGGAGAACATGCCAGGGATTCCAAAATAAATTGTGATTGGAGGTAAATTTGGCAAGGAGAGCCTGGAGAGCTCATTTGAGTTGTTTAATTGTGTGAGGTCGTTGTTATTGTTGACTCTAAAAATATTTCTGTTATTGTACTGTGTTATTTATTTGAACACACAAGCCGACCTATTATTATTAGACTTATTGTAAAGCAAGAAGCATGAATTAATATGTATGACATTGGGAGCATCTAAGTGCTAGGTGACATCAATTTATTACATTCTATACTCAGGCTGGAATGAGATTCTTGAAAGGAGTCTGCATTTTGGTGGCAGTGTCACAAGAATCAAGTGGGGAGTCAAAGTGACTATCAAATGAGAGTGGATTTGAAGTGAACATTGATTTACTCTAAATTCATTCCATAATGTCAGCAGGATTTAGGGCTTTAATGTTTAACTCTACACCATGCGCTTTTAAATTTGAAATGACGTTAGTGGAGAGCTACATGCAGATGATAAGTTTTGAGGGTTATAAAGTTGCATTAACTCACATTTGTTCTGAGAGAGTGATTTGGAGGCTGGTCTTAAACCGATGAGGGATGAGGCTCTACTTATGCTATGGAAGCCACCCAAACGACTTGGGATGTTTGAGAAGATTTCAGTGATATTAGTTTGATGCTTGAGGCTGAGTCTCCCTTCTGCATGGAGCGACAGTGCCATATCCAAGAAGCTCAGGTAGTAACAACTTGTAACATGTTGATGAAATCCTCGTTGGGCAGTGATCCACTGCAGAGAGTTCCAAACTATCCAGAAGAACTGGAAACCTTGCAGCTCCAGCAATTGAAAGATGAGGAGAAGATGCTGTTGCAGTGCCGATATGGGCTGGAAGTGTTTCGGCATTTCCCCCCTCCCAAACTTATGAGATCCTATGTTTAAAAACATTAACAATAAAGTACCCTACCTTTGCCTTCCTCACTCAGATACGAAGACATGAACTAACAAATGTGTAAATGTCGGTTAAACAAACAAACTTTTTTAATTTGCTTATGCGCATGAAGCGACATACATCTGCTTGTTCATAACCAGTGTATATTATTAAATCAAGAAAATAAGTAAATAAGCATGAGAAAACAAAAAAAAACCTTGATTCGCTTGTAGAACGTGGTTTACAAGTCCAGCGAGCTCTTAGGGCTCTCGGGTGAGCGAGTTTTGAAACCTGTGGAAAGAAATAAAGGAAAAAAGTTGACAGTCTTCCAAGTGAAGAAAGCCTTCCATCCAGGAGTACAGCATTGGATATCTGGTGATATCTCATTGGATCTCATTAAGAGCTCGACTCGAAATCTCTTGGTTGTAGTTGGAGATGAGATCTACTTGAATATGACCAAGAGAAAAGAAAACCTTCGGTGGTTCCAGAGCTCCTAAAACTGCAAGTCTTGCAAGCGAAGCAATTCTCTCTAACTCCATTGAATGAGGACACTTCCACTACTGCGTGCCAAGCTTGATTCATCACCTTCCAGAACGAATCATGACTTCAGGAAAGAAACCAAGAAAAAGATAATCTGCTGCATAGTTTTATTTATTGTGAATATTAATTATTTTTACTTTTCTTACACACATGTTTATTATTTAAAAATATAGGATTAATCTGATTAGTTAGAAAAATAATAATTTATAAACATTTTTTAAGCAAAAAACAAAAATAGCAACACTTGGTTTGCTTAATAGTAGTGTTATACTTATTAATTCAATTGATCAAATAAAGTTTATGATTATAAGCATGTTTGTAATTTACAAAACACAAGATTAATCTTATTGCATATCAACCATTAGATAATAGAAAAAAGAATATACTACAAAGGGTTTAAGAAAATTTATAAATAACCGGAGAGCGAACAACGACGGACTCATAAGAGCCAGGTTTGGCAGAGCTTGCAGTAGGCACGAAAATTTCCATCCAAACTGACTCCTACCTCAGTGCTGTGTCCGTTCAGATTGAAAATGAAATCATCGGCTTGCCACTGAATCGCAGCAAAAAGCTTATAATCTATACAAAACTTCATCATCAATTCAAATACTAGCAAACTTACAATTTCGTAAGAGTTCCATTTGGTCCAGGTAACGTAGTGCAGGTAATGTAATGTAATGAGTAATTGTATGACTACTCCTGATGACGAAAACTGCCATTAGAAGCTGACAGAAAATCAAACATTTCATATCTCAATTTGGCGGGGACATAGAATCATTCGAACCGGTCAAGTCAACTGCGCGTAGGTAGTCAAGGAGACTTTGGCCAGATGGATATCCTGCTGCATCCTCTACGTGAGGCTTTCGACTTGCCTGTGAGGAAAACTGAAATGCATCGAGTCCAGAAAATGCAATCATGTCGTGCATTTGGTTCAAACAAAACGGCACCACCAGCTCAAGCTTGAAGTTCGTTAAGCGACATCTGCGTAGACCTATAAAGAATTTGAAAAACCAGCACTAGATTTACTGCAAAACTAATAGGCATACCCAATGAGGTCATGCCAACCATTTCCCTTGTAACTGAAGCAGTCACTGACCAAAGGCCGATCCTGGAAAATTCAGCTGTTTTTGGTTTACCTTAGTTGTTGTAATGTTTGTGAAACAATAAGCAAGCAAAACATCAACTTACACTCTTGGAAAAGAAGTCTTTGTTATCTAGATCACAAGTCTGCATCTCTTCTAAGTTTATGGAGGGTGTTAACCATGCTATGCTCTTCACTCCCGTTTTGATTGTTCCCCCATCGGCCTTTTGCTGATTGTCCAGGTAGAGCAAGAAACATACTTTAATTCAACGTGATCTACATCACATTTCTCTATTCGTAAAACTTTGATAAATAGCCCTACGTAAAGCTTAAAACGAGTGGGGTTTTGCTAGGGCTTGAAGAAATGGGCGACATGATGCCGCCTCCGCCTGCTGTGTTTCGTCCTCCGCCGCCCCCAATCGCTGCGCTGCACCCGCCAGCTCCGCCGGATGTCGACGACAAGAAGAAGATCGTCGCTCCAGCTCGGCCCTACGACATTCCCGAGTGGAGCCACGCACCGGGTAAACCCTACTTTCTCGAGGTGCTCAAGGATGGATCAATTCTGGAGGAGCTTCCAGTGTGAGTTTCTCGTCATTGCTTGTGTCGAACTATTCTCATGGATGTTCTTACAGCTCGGAGAAGGGCGCTTACATGTTTGGGAGGCACGAGAACTGTGATTTTGCGCTGGATCATCCCAGCATTTCTCGGCACCATGCTGGTGAGTGAGTTTTCTGTGTTTCTTCTCATCTTCTACTTCATTTTTCTGGTATCAGTTCTTCAGTACAACAGCAATGGGGATGCGTTCATCTTCGACTTGAGCAGCACTCATGGCACTTTCGTCAACAAGCTAAAGGTTGGAATTTTTTTTCCATTTCTTGAGATGTCGAGAGATACGAGTCTCTTTTGTTCAGGTAAAAGCTAAAGTTCACGTTCCTGTACACGTTGGAAGTATCTTTCGCTTCGGTCTGTAAGTTTCATGCTAGTTCTCAGTCTAGTATCGATTAACCGGTGCCTATCCTTTTGTAGCTCTACTCGAATGTACCTCTTTCAAGGCCCAGAAGAACTTATGCCTCAGGTATGTTTTGAGCTGTGGCGAGAAAAATCGAACTGAGTGACTTGCTGCTAGGAAGGGTTGTCACGGAAAGACCGGCAGATAATGAGGCAGCTTGAAGCTCAGCAGTCGAAAGAGGAGGAAGAGGCCTCTCTTTTAAGAGCACGAGCTGATGCTGCAGCCGAGCAAGGGGCATCGTGGGGAATGGGAGAAGACGCTGTTGATGAAGAAGCTGTGGTAAGTACTTCAGCGTTCTCATGTGATCGTTTATCTGGTATTTTGTTTTTATACTTGGCAGGAAGACGATTTGACATGGCAATCGTACAAGGGGCAGTTGACGGAAAAGCAACAGAAAACCATGGAACAAATCCAAAAACGCAACGATAAGGTCTGTTTCCTTGTTCATCAAGACGATCCAAATGACTACTTCTTCGGCAATACAGCTTACGAACCTGAAAAAGGAAATTGATGCAATCCAAGCTAAAGAAGCTGCACAGGGAGGCCTCACTCAAGGACAGCAAACACAAGTAACCCGAAATGAAAAGAGGATTGAAGAGGTATTTATTTTCTACGTATTCTGGCTTTGTAATGATCGTTTTCTTTTTTGGTCAGCTCCTGGAGCAGCTTGAAAATCTTGAGGAAACTCTAAACGACAGCATAAAGGAGAGTGTCTTCGGAATAACAGGCGTTAAACGGAAAACTAAAAACTTTGAGGGGGAGGAAGAAGATGATTTAAGGTAAGCCTTGGTCAGTGTTCTCCTCGTTACTTATTCGTCCGTCTTCTGCCAGCGACGACGACTTTTATGACCGGACGAAAAAGAAACATAAGAAGGACACGGAGGCTCAGAGCGCAGCCTCTCTTCTGGAAAAGCTTGATCAGCTAGCGAAAGAGATGGAGGAAGTGCGCTTAAAACTCATTGGAGAAGGAAAGAAACCTATGCCTTCCAGTCATGAGGAAGGTTCTGACGACCCCTTGGATGCTTATATGAGTAACGTTTCTACTGAATTAGGTGAGTTTTCAGTCTTATGCTGAAGTACTTCGATTCTTAACTAGGGCCTTCTTTGCGCAGTTGAAGATGGTGCCACACGGTTGAGAACGGAGCTGGACAGGCTTCAGGCTGAAACAGATAAAGTGTCTACGCTCTTGAAAGTTGCAGATCCCACCGGGGAAATCACCAAAAAATGGAAAACCAAAGGTGACGAAAGCTCCCAGCCTTCTGAAGTGCCACCTGAAAAGAGCGGCACTACTTTGGACGCTAACAAACCCGACCAAGAAGCTGGCGTAATCTCCGACAGCGTTATTTGGATCGGCGCTCCCCGGCCTCAGGAGCCAGCCGAAGAGCCCGCATCTGAACGCGCGGAAGCTGCCGAAGAGGACGCTGCTGCGGAGGACAAGTTTGTGCCTTACAAAGAATGGAAGGAGAGTTTGCAACGGCATAATCCAACATCATTGCTGCCAGGCGGGCGTGAAGATGCTGAGAAAGTCTCGGAGGACGCTGTGGCCAACGACATCGCGCTGCTGCTAAGACACAAGAAGGGATTGACGAGCAGCCCCGAAGCGACCGAGCGCGAGGAGGAAACAGCTGCAGAAGCTCCTCCAACAAAGACGAAGAGTAAAAAGAAGAAAGCCAAGGAGAAGCGGACGCTGGGTCCTGAGCGTCCAAAGTTCATGGCCGATGAAGAGACGGAATTTGAGTCGTGGGTCCCTCCTGTCGGTAAGTTCTGGCTTTGTTTGTATGATTTCTCTCAAGACTTGTTCGTTTCTCTTGTTTTCTATCCAGGACAAACGGGCGATGGTAGAACATCGCTGAACGAGAAATATGGCTACTAGCTAGGTGAACTTGCTGAGAATTCTCTGTACAGTGATACTGACAAGGTTTTTTAAATGCTTTCCTGAGGAAGAAACTTGAGTTCTTTCTAGGGTTCTACCAGTGCTCATGGTCAGTGCAATGGGTTCCTTAATCGTTGGTGGTGGCGGCCTGATGTTTGGAGGGAGGCAGTATCACCATAGAATGCCGGCAGTGGGTTCGCCAGCTTTTCCGTCAGTAACAGCTATTGGTGTGAAGAGCAAGGGGTTGAAGTTCGGAAGTTTTGGGATTTGTCGAGCTGTTCGTGATCCAGAAGAAGCTCCAGAGCTAAGAAACTCCAAAAAGAACGAAGCTGCGGACGAGAACAAGGATCCTGGGATTGACAGGCGCGAGCTGTTTCTCTCGATTCTCGACGATGTCAAGATCATTGGTGTGGTTCTCGCCGCTTCGATATTTTTCCGGTGGTACGTTGCAGACCCGAGCATCATTCCGTCCGAGTCTATGTCTCCAACGTTGCAGCCTGGAGATATTGTGCTCGTTGAAAAGGTAAAGCTTTCTCTTTTGATAGTTCTTTCTTATTCATGCGCATGGCTCTCTTTTTCCCAGTTTTCATATCGATTCAACTCTCCTGACATCAATGATATTGTCACGTTTGATGGTCCTGCGTCACTGATGGTGAGCGAATGGATTTTTTTCCTGGCTTGAGAACTGAAATTAACTTCTTATATCGTCAGCGAGGTGCTGGAGATTTATTCATCAAGCGAATCGTTGCCAAAGCGGGCGACACTGTTGAAGTAAGCTATGCAAAGTTCAATGGCTCCGTTTCTAAAACGTCTGCAGGTGTCCGACGGAAAACTCATTGTCAATGGAATTACGAAAGAAGAACCTTTCGTCTCGGAAGCCGCAATTTATGACATGCCTTCGGTGGTACGCATCTCGGATTGTTTCTCTCTTTTTTGAGTCTGAGAATTTCGCATTTCCTTGTAGCTTGTACCTGATGGTCACGTCTTCGTTATGGGAGACAACAGGAACAACAGCTATGATTCGCACATATGGTAAAAGCAAAGTGGAACCCGTCATTAGCTATCGGTTTTGCTGATCATCGTTCCCTGTTCTTTCTAGGGGCCCTCTTCCTGTGTCGAGCATCCGGGGCCGCTCCGTCTTGAGGTACTGGCCTTTAACAAGGCTCGGCAGCACACTTGGTTGGATTCGTCAATCAACGCGAGGAGTTTTGACTTCCACTTTCTAAAGGTTGGTGGTGGTGGTAGCTAGGTAGTTGCTTTCGTCCATCCCCGCGTGGGCTTTCCTCCCAAGAGAGAAAACTTTGCAAGAGATTTTGACGATTCACTATCCTTTTCTCTTCTGTTCTTCCAGACTGAACGTCTTGGTCGATGCCATATGCGTGACAACCGAAAAGCACCGAAAAGCCGAGCTAGTGGAAGACGAAGTGGACATCGAAGAATAGCTACAGGAACACGAGTTTATTGCCAAGCGAAAACGAAACTGACCGAAGCAACAGCAACTAACAAGCGAGCCGACGATGAATCAGTCCAGCAATGGCAAGAACACCAAAGAACGACGAGAAACTCAGCGACGACGAAGCAGCGGAGGAGCCAGACGGCGAAGAGCCACCGGGGGAGGACGAAGAGCCGCCGGGTGATGTCGAGGAGCCACTCCTGATCTCGTCCGAGTGCTGGAAAGTTACGTTGAAGTGGAGGACTGCCGAGAAGTTGACGCTGGAGGTAGTGGTGATAACAGCGAAGCCTTGAGCAAACCTGTAGATGCCGGTGCCTCCGACGATGGCGATCTCGCGAGTTGGGTCCGTTATCTTGTCCGATCCATGGAAGCTCAGAGTACCATTCCGGTCAGAGAAGACGGCGGTGAAAGTGAGAAGAATGGTGGAGGCGTCGAGGGAGGTGACCAAGTAAGTTCCTTGAGCTCGGCCCAAGGATGTGGAAGTCGGGGAGGGGCCGAGAGTGAGGGCGTCGTCGATGATGATGACGGTGCCAAAGGCGAAGGTTGTGGTGCTGCCGTTTGCTCCGGCTACTGGGATTCCAGAGGGGTTGGAGACGAAGACGTTATCGTGCATATAGAACTCGAAGCTCGTCTGCTGCTCGCTCTGGCACCTGGAGCTGGGAATTATCCAGGCGAGAGCTGCCAGCGCTAGCGCGAGGAAGTGGTACTTCATCGGAGATCCGGAGAGGAGAAATAAGCGTTGGAGCAGCAGAGAACTTACAGAGCGAATCGGAAGAGACCAAGTTATCTCTACCAGAGACGAAAGATCTCGAGCAATGTTCTCGGAAGAAATTCTAGAGAGGAAAGATCTGTGAGAACTTTGAAGACAATCTATCTGCACTTGAATTGCTCTTTTCTTACGTTCTTATTAGGTGGACTCCACAAGACCTTAGGTAGTGCGTTGCGAGGAGTAAGTCTAGGCGCAAGAGGTGCCCGGTTCGAGTCCCTTGAGAAAGAGGATATTTTCTTGACGAGAATATCCACCTTTCCCACTTCACTTTAATCGCCAGGGCGTTCTAGGGTTCTTCGCGCGGTGATGAAATTCGGTAAGCGATTGCAGCAGCAGATCGAGGAGACGCTGCCGGAATGGCAGGACAAATTCCTCTCGTACAAGCAGCTCAAGAAGCGCCTCAAGCTCATCGCGGCCGAGTGCTTCACCGATCACCCGTTTGGCGGCCACCAGGAGCAGCAGCAGCGGCGGCGGCCAGCGAATTCCAGCAACGAGAGCAGCGGCAGCGTCACTGGGCCGGCTGCCAGTAATGCGGATCGTCAATTCCAGGAGAATGAAGAGGGGCGGGGGCTCACGAGCCAGGAGGTGGAATTCATCCGGCTGCTCAATCTGGAGCTCGAGAAGTTCAACGCGTTCTTCATCGATAAGGAGGAGGAATACGTTATTCGCTTGCAGGTATTTCTTTTCTTTTGCTCGATTGATCGATCGACAAAGACTTTAGTGGAGGATAAGTGCTGATGTCGTGCTTCCTTTTTTTCTTTCCTTCTTGTTTAATTCTTTTCCAGGAACTCAAGGAGAGGATCGAACGGGCGAGAGTGGAAAACGCCGAAAGCTCTTTGTCAGGTGGTCCCTATTTTGACGAGGAGATGCTTAATATCTGGAAGGACTTAGTCACCTTTCACGGGGAGATGGTGCTTCTCGAGAACTATAGCTCGCTCAATTACACAGGTACACGCAAGCTTGAAATCTTTGCTCTTGGCTTCTTCTATGATCTAAGCAACCGCTTTTCTTCTTTTTTCTTCCATTCCATTTGGAACAGGCCTGGTGAAAATCCTAAAGAAGCACGACAAGACAACAGGAGCTCTCTTGAGGCTTCCATTCATTCGCAAGGTCCTGCACCAGCCGTTTTACAAGACGGAGCTCCTCTCCAAGCTCGTCCGGGAGTGCGAGAGCAATCTCCAGTCCATCTTCCCGGCTGCGATGCTGGGCGAGACGGTGATCGATGGGCCAGTGTCCATGGATCCGGCTAAAGTGAGAGACACGTCACAAGCTGGAGTATCATCGTCGGTGGCAGCAGTGGGATCATCTTCATCAGCAGCAGCGAAGGAGGAAGAAGTGGAAGAACAAAAAAAAGAGCTCGAGGGCGAGGGAGGAGGCGATGGAGAGAAAGCAGAGTGCTCGTCCCCAAAGCAGGAGGATGGGAATATGGAAGGGATTTACAGGAGCACAGTGGCAGCGCTCCACACTATCCAGGAGCTTCGCAAAGGCAGCTCCACTTACAGCCCACTCTCACTGCCGCTCTTCAATCGCGAGGAGAATCTGGGCGTCGTGGTGGACGAGTCCACTGTGTCGTGCTAGCGGCGAGCTCTTGATCGAATACAAAACTCGCTGGCGCTTGTACCCTGGTTTTCATATTTTCTGGCGCGTCAAATCTGGACCGGTGGTGTTTTTAGGGTTCTTGGAGAGCTGACAAGCGAATCAAAGTTAACCTTTTTTAAAACCCTGTGGAGAACATGGGCTCAAGTAAGTTAAATATCTCTTCTTTTTTCTTCCTATTGTTACCAGGCTTCTGGAAGACGAGGCCGAGCGCCTGTGTCAAATCGAGAACCAGCTACACCACTTACAGGTATGAAGATTCAACTTCCATTTCAGTCCGTCCTTCGTGTTCTTTGTTTCTTTCATTCCCCAGGTAGAGGAGAGCATTTACACAGGCCATGAAGCAACTGGAGACGACCAACACAACGAGTGAGTGGCGGACGAGGTACCTAGCAGTGAAATCGTTCCTCTTTCCTGATAACTTTGCGTTTTCTTCTGTGAATTCCCGAGTAGGATGACCATGAACTTTGCGGAGGAGCTTGATCGCGAGCTCGCCGAGGCTCTCAAAGGCCACACTCCAGGCAGCTGATCTCTTGAGAAAGGACGACACTGGCACTGCAGCACCCGAGGAAGCGTCCCAAGACAGTGAGTAGAAGATAAAGTTTGCGACGATCGGGGGGTGTTTAGCAAGGATGCCTTTGTGTCATTCCCAACTTCACTGATAACCTGGACAATAACAGCGCGTGGTTATAGTAAGGGTGTCGCTACTCTCGTCTGAAGGTGGGGATCTTTGCCATAATCGGCATCTCTGTCACCCAGGACCTCAAATCCTCCTGGCGGAAATAGTTACTGTTTTCTCGTACTCAGGCACCCAGTCCATCCCATAAGACATCCCAATCTCTGTAAGCAAGCACGCGTACCCTTATCAGTGCCATCTTCACCAATAATGACATTCATGGCCGATATTACTTGTGCAACGGGAGTTGTCTTACTATCCCGTGGAAGAACCAAAGACTTTGTATACGTACCCAAGATCAACCTCGCAGACTCCCAATCTTGCCAATGTGTGTGCCTCATCAAGGTACACTCCAACAGTTTTAGAAGACATCCAGAGAGAAAAATACCTTGTAGGCTTTGCAGACTTGCACTATCTCTTTTAATCTGCAAATTTCACCCTCCATGCTGTAAATATCTTCGATGACAACAATTATCTTTTTCCAAGGCCGATGTAGAACTGAGGGAATATTCCATTTGCCGCCACGTCAGTATTAGGGTCACGACCATTGGGGACACTTAAGGGGAAAAAACAGGGGATCATTGGTATGTGAGGAAGTGAAGAAGAGAATAAAGGAAAAAGGATGCCTCGACGAAGAGGTCTTCGGCGAAGTGCCCTTGATTGTGTGAACGAGCGACTTCGGATACGACGAG